CCTACCGCAGCATCATTCTACTGGTTTGCAGAAAAGCCAGAACCAACAAATTCGCGTCTCGAGGGAGTCTGTAGAGCACCACTGCTCCGAATTCTATCCCACTTGACACGAGCAGGGCTAACCGGAAAGGGTACGCAAGGCAAGAAAGGACCACTCCACAAACATGAAATGCACATGCGCGGTTTACACTCGGATGCCGATGGAGCTCAGAAGAAAACCGAGCCAACTGTACAGGCTCAGAACGAGCAAGCCCTCGCCCGCGGTAGATTTCTATTAAGTCCTCCGCCTGTGGTCGAATTAACGCCATTGGCCTTGTCAGTCTCAAGATGGACAACAGTCGGGCTCTGAAACCGGAGAGAACGAACATTCGACCTCCTACTGATTTCAAGGTTCGAAGCAGAGTGGCGTCAGCGGGTTGGCGAATGGTGATGGCGCGTTGATGCACTGAAGAGGTAGTTCTTCAAAGTTCTTCACCTGGAACATTTTCAAGCAAGATAGGGCTCCAATCATTGCCTACGTTCACTCCTGACAACAAGAAGGCACGGTTGTCTGCGTACCTGAAGCCATTGAGAAGTCCTGCAGATTGCATCAAATCACGAAAATGTTTCACCAGGATGAATTCTGTGGTGTTCGCTACCACGGTACACAGAATGCGAGCGACGGCTGACACCGTTGCCGCGCCTGAAATTTGTCGGAATGCGTGCTTACGTAAAGAAGCTGGGCTGAAGAAGAAATTCCACGAGCTTCAGTAGGTCCTGAGCTCGCAAGTCTTAGTCTGGCGAGTAGCGAACCTTTTGGACCCCCGAAAGATTACTTGTCATTCTGGCACATGGTGACCTCAAAGGTTTGTTGAACCCACGGTTGTCCTGTGGATTCGGCAAGTTGCAACAAGACAAACATCACCCGGTACAGCGCCTTAGCAAGAAAGACTGTTAACCGAGAATGCCAGCGAGTGGCGCGTGCGATGATGGGTCGTGCCTTAGAAAACTGCTTCGATGGCTTAGGAAGTATGCTGGCAATTGGGAGTGCCTTGTCCCAGCGAATGGCCCATTGACGGGATGTGCATCAACAAAAATGAAATAAGGATCAAAAAATCAAATAATGATCAAAAAAAATCAAAATTTGAGAATACAGAGAGAAATCAAAGGAAAACCGGC